CTTGTGATGAGCACATTGCTATCTCTGAAACCATTTACACAATGATACAAATGGCTAATTCTGAAGTTGATAAACTCAATGGTGAGAAATATTAATTATTGGATAATTATTATTACAAGCAGATCATATACAATATGTTGTTGGACATTTAGTGACAGCACTTCTATGACGTGGATGGATGAAATGGAGGCCATAGGTATTGTTGAAGTGAACAACACTGTTTTCTCTCTTCCATATGTCATATCTACTGTAAAACATGTTGAAAAAGCGACATACTATTTTAGCGAATTGTGGTAAAATGACTTTGTTTGGCCACCATTTTGAATTTATAATTAGCGACATCTTAAACTAGTGAATAGTTCTCTCCCTAAATTTTCTAAAAAGACATGCTCGCGAAAAAGACATATTTTACAGTATGTCACTGAATTCAATTGTAGCTACAGTAACAGTGTATTAATCCAAATAAAACAAATATTTTGCTTTTTGATCTAAAGAAGATACATGCATTAAAGGTTGATTTGGATTGATAGAACATTTTTTGAAACATAAAACAAATATTTTTCCATTCTACTGAATTGGGATATTTTACTGGTACACAAAATTAAAATAAAAAATCGCATGTTTGAAACTACTATACATGATAATAAGAACCTTTTTTTTACCGAATAGTTACAAAATGATTATATATTCTCAATGCTATAGGAGTGATTCAGGAGATTAAATTTCACGCTGCTGTAAAGCTATGGCAAACATTGGCTTGGCATTTGGAGATGTTTTATATATTATAAAGAATTAGTTGTAGGTATAAACAGATATAGTGTCTGTAACTGCATGAAAAAAGTTTCGAAATCATGAAAACCTTTGTGTGTAACTCAATCAATATTAGGTGTACTTGTAACAAGGAAGTTAAGATGAATTTCTTTTGTAGAAGCTGAATTCACATCTTTCAAAAATAGAGAAATTGATATGGAAAAAATAGATAAGGACGACTTTGAATGCAGCTTATGTTTTCGGTAAGTTGTTTATAACCTCAATAGCTAATAAGAATACCGGTAAGGGTGTGAGACTTTCTTAATATCATATATATTGATATGTGATTGAGATTGTCAGTTTTATGTGTATGTCATTCATACTTGTTCCAACCAATAGTATTACACAGCACAAAGGATGCTTGTTACCAATGGAAAATTTAATTTTATGAACACAATCATGCCAACTACTGCATGCATCTGCTTACTAAGAAAAGCTAAAAAACGGCAACCATGTTAGTAAGTGTTGAAAATAGAACCACGTCACTGCAAACTATTTTTTGTTGGTATTTGATGTAGTCCTTGCTCACAGACATCATAAGAAATAATAATAAACACAAATGCTGCACACAGTTACTGCATTAGCCTGATGAGGTCGCGTGTGTTGCGCTCTCTGCGGTGCTCCAAACCCAACACATGCCTGACAGAATGATGTAGTTTTTCACTTCCCTCAACGATTTTTTCTCGGTACCAATCACAATGCAGGATCAAAGAGTAACCAGTTTATTTCCACCTAATGTTTATCATCTTGTTGAAAACAGTCTGTGATTTTTGCTGACAATTCAAACATGGCTCTGATTGACGGTGTTACCATGACCACCAAAATGAATATTCATTGAAACTCATTGCAAGAAGGCGTGAACTTTGCGAATTCGCAGTATTGATCTTGCCAATGAGACGTATACTATTCTGTCAGGCATTAGTGAGGTCTGATGCCGTTCAATCGGCAAGGGCCTATATACTCACACTTACATGTCAGTCTATTACTGTATGTGCACTTGAACAGTGCGTAATTGTAATAACCATCTTGTAATAACTTTGTTATATTTTCCTTTTTAGGATTTTTTCAAAACTTTTAACTTTCACAATTTCTAGCACTGATTAGAACTTAATATCTGTTTGTTTGTTTTGATACAGTTTGTTGTATGCACCTGTGACGACTCCATGTGGCCATATGTTCTGTTGTCACTGTTTAGACAGATGTCTGGATCACAGCAATCGATGTCCTTTATGTAAAGATTCTTTAATTGAAGTGAGTGACTGTCAGTATCTATTGACATACATGTTTTAATATATCAGATATTCCTCCCTGAATATTGGTGTTAAGACCATGTATGATGATTTCCATAATTATGCATACTGATTGATTACCGTTTGATAAAATATGACTGACTAATGGCCATTTTGGTCCTCAAATTTGCTAAATTCTGATACCTAAACGTTTCTGTCTTTTTATTAAAAATGTACAGAATAGTTTCATTCAAACTTTGTAGCATGATCATGTACGTTGGGTTATACAGGTGCATGTTATATATTTTTCGAGCTTTTGACAAAAATGGCCAACATTTTGTTTGTATTTGCGTCCATGTCACTAATATATCACCTGATTCAGTTGTATGTACACAGGTAATACCACAGGTTGTGTTGTTTTGTGATTTGTTCAAATTTATTGAATTTGCATTCATTTTGCCTAAAAATCATAAAATCACAGTCTGTAAACATGTTCACAGAACCGTCTTTGTATCATGATCATACATATTAGGATTGCAGGTGTAGATCATATTTTCTTTTTTGGATTTGGACGAAAATGGCCAATTGGTAGCCATTTTTATGCTATACATGCTAGGACCTCTGAAATGCATTCATGATTCTATTCAATGCTGGGACCCAGATGATCCATATGAAGCGTGTGGTATTGAGATTGGTTACCCATTATACTGAACGAGGACTGTGCATTGTTAATATTTTATGTTATTATTTAATAATAATTATTTATTGGCTCTCAGCTTATATACATCAAGTTTACTTAAAATACCTTGACGATTTACAAAATCCAGTTGTGATGGTCTTGAACAACTGTTTTCATAATTATATTTGCATACCATTGTTTCTGTTGAAAAAATGATTTAACTTAATGCTGGGTAATTATTTGTGTTATCCACAAACTAAATATGATCACTATTTGTTTTGTTTCAGTATCTTGCTGAAAGAAGAAAAAACATAACCGTTGTCATGGAGAAACTTATAAAAATGATTTTCCCAAATGAATATGAAGAAAGAAAGAAACTACACGATTCTGAAATGGAAGCATTAGCAAAGTAAGGATGTGTGATATTAGGTGTATAGTGGGAGCGGGGCATTGTGTTGTCACAGGAAGCATCATATGTGTCATATGATGCCTTACTAGCCGATTTTGGCTAAAATAGCACTCCACCGTCTCTTTACACTAGTGTTTATACACAGAACTTGATAATTTTTATTCCAATTTAAGTTGCTTTTTTAACAACGTATTTTAGTGAAATATTGTTCAGTGAGTGAAATATTAATTTTACAAATCATCACAGCTATGAAACAACAGAAACAAACACATAATAACGATAGTCAAATTTGTGTGTGAAGTTCGAAAGTACTCGCGTAATTTCCAGTTTCAACTAGTTCCAAAATAGAACCTCCTAGAACGCAATAAAATCACGTGTAGAATGCCTTCCGAACCAGACACTAGCAGCGTAAACTTATTGCAAATTTGCGCAATTTTTGGGCCAGTTTGTTCTTACAATATTTCTAAATTTCGTTTATCATTATTTAGTGAACAGGTCTCTGAAACGATTTATTATATTTGTAAAATACGTGCCGGGCGACGTTTGATTTCTAAACATTCAAAATTTCGAACAAACTCTCGACACTCCTTGCGCAATATGCTTCAGATTGGGGTTGAAAGAACGCCAACCTGCAGCGTCAATGGGGAGAGGGGTAGTCAATTGAATTAATTATACTGGCATTCATTCGTCAGTGATTACATGAGAAGATTTTACATACACATTACATTACATTACAAATGTACTAATTTGAATACCAGTATGTCTAACACAGAGAAAGTTGAAAAAAAAAATAATTTGTCTTGAAAATAATATAATTATGTAATTATCAAAATGCTAATATAATTATCCTGTAAATAATGGCACTATGTATACAGGGGCTGGTATGAGTGGTCTTTTTCCAATTGTCAATTTTTCAGTGCTGGGTGCAGATATTAAGTTTCCAAGCAACAACTGCTGCCCTTCAAATCTCTTACGTGCATGTGTGTGTTTTAATTATGCAATTAACAGTGGTTGTACTATGTGAGTCATTATTGATTTGAAATTCATGTCTGCACTTCATGATAATTATCCACAGAAAAAATTTAATTTGTGAAAGAATATTGCGTAAAGCAGTCTTTACAAGTCTAGCATGACTGTATTAGTTTACTATGAGAAATCACAATTAACTTTAATACCGGTATAAAGCTTCATTTTTATCTTATGTATGTCATAAAGGAATTTTCTTCAGATGAAGTAGTTCTATTTTTTTCTGAAAATGACAAAAACAACATATTTTTTTTCTACAGTTATGCCAGAAGTGACAGTATAAGTGAAATCCCTGTGTTTGTTTGTACATTGGCCCTACCATCCATTGTTTGCCCACTACATATATTTGAACCAAGGTATCGTCTTATGGTTAGACAGTGTATGGAGACTGGGGCAAGGCAATTTGGAATGTGTCTTCCTAATTCTGATGAAAATGGGTAAGTTTCATAAATTTATTCCGAAAAACAAAAATTTATAGTTATTCCATCGTCTTTCTTTAATAGCTTGTCTACCATGCACTAAAGGTTGGTCCTTAATGTTTATTAAAATTGAATGTCTTATTTTGAATTTTTTAATCATTAATCAATTTAAATCAATAATAACATACTGGTATGACTTTTTCATCCAATGTCATTGAGCTAAACTTTGAGATGTGAAAAAATAATTTTACAATAGATACCATTGCAAAAATGACAATTTTGTCTATTTTCCATGACATTGTTTCTCAAAATTTTTTTTTTATTATTATCTTTTTGGTATCTTTAATGACATTAACCCATCAGTTCGACTTGAACTTCAAAATAATGATATTGTGAATAGTATGAGGTTAATTTTTAAGAACACTGTATGCAGTAAATAGAAGCCTAGTCATAATTTTTTCAACAAGTTTGTCATAAATCACATGACAGTGTTTATTGATTTATTATCTACAATCATGGAGCTATTGTTCCATAGTGCAATGAAATAGTAATAAATTCTGGGTATTTTCCATTTAGAGTAGGCCTCTACCTTAATGTCATTAGACAAAATATGATATTTAAAAATGCGTTTGTCCTGGTACAATTGTTTAGGATCTGCGAAAGGATTTAATTTTGTGTGTCATCTGCTACATTGTAGCTGCATAAACAAAGGGAAGTGTTCAGTTGAAACATAAACATTCAGCCAACAATCTGAACATACTCATAGCTGTCCCATAAATAGATTAATTGACAACAAATAAATTAATGCATTCACAAAAAGTAATATATTATTATGTTTTTGTGCTCGGAACTCCTTTCATGGATTATAATACTGGTCCTATTATGTGCAGAACCATTATATGTATAAATATGAAAATCCGAATACGATTAAAATATACTTACCTTTATTTTTAACAATTTTATCGATAATGAACTAAAAGAAACATCCATAAGTCAAAACTGAATTGCATAGTTTTGTAAATTTGATCTATTATTAAAACATATAGGTGGTGGGTGCAAAACAGATGTTGGTTGACGATCGAAGATCCTGGTCTGGAAGAAGTTAAATATTCCATTGTTTTTTTTTCTTTGCAGTTTTGTGGATTATGGGTGTATGCTTGAAATTCGTGATGTTCAGCATATCCCTGATGGTCGTTCCATAGTAGATTGCATTGGTGGAAGGCGGTTCAAAGTTCTGGAACGTGGGATGCGAGACGGTTACCATACAGCTAAAGTAGTGTTTATTAAAGATGCTAAAGTTGAAGGTAAAATATGGCCAATGTCCAGTGTCAATAAAGTTTGAGATATACATGGACTTGGATAATGCAAATGCAAATTTGTTGAAATTCATGCTCATTAATTACCTAATTTGCATAAATTAAGCAACTTCTAGATATCTAAAAAAACTACTTAACAGATTAAATAAAATATCGTGGGTTATACCCCACAGAAGTGATGAGTTTACCAGTAGTTTTAAAATATGTACATATTAATGAGGTAATTTACATAATAAGCCAATTGTTCTAAAAATATCTATTAAAACTTGGTACATATATTTTCTAGTGTATTTCAAAGTATATAGTTCTAGGATGAAATCTGCCCGTATGAACTAATTTACATATATTAGACCATAACTGGAAAACAACTTGGAACATTAGCTTCGAACATTAGGTGATTTGGGATACTCCACAGACCACAAATCATAAATGTAGAATCATTTTTTGTTTCAACCCTTCTAGTTAGTATATTATCAAATTCAATTTTGTAGTTCATATTGTTTCACATTGTGCATGTTAAAAAGTAAGATTTTTTGTTTAATAGGATAGTCTTAATATTCAATTAATTTTAAATATTGCTAAATTTATTTCATGGCTTCCACTGATTAATCACAGTGCATGAGAGTTAATTATTTCTATGCCTTCTTTGTTTAAAGGTTATCCCATAGCATGTGTTCTAATTCCCAGTATGCTACAAGTATCAAACCATCGCCCTTTAAATTATGTCAACTTGTTACTCTATAATTCAATTGTAAAAACATATTCATGTCCAGTGCACACAAGGTGAAATCAAACATGTTGAACTGTGTTGTTTTCTCTAAATCTTTCACAATAATTGATTGCGGTTTATATTACTAACCAAATGAAGGATAAGAAATAATTGTGCCTCAAGCTCAGGAGATCATTTCATTTCTCAAAATTATTCACAGCTATCAATGTTTAACCAAATTCTTTCAGAGTGATGGCCGCCATCTTGGACAACCAAATGATATGAATGAATGTAAATGCATTTAATAATATGAGGTTATTACGACGATACCTCAAAGTATGCACAAAGGCAGGACAGCACAAGTATCTCTTTCTATTATTAGACGACGCTTATATGCACGTAAACATTTCATATTTGGAATTTGTATTTCCTTATATGGTAGGATGAAAATACCCTGTAAAATACTGCAAAATTACGGCACGCTGTAACTCATGGCGTTACGGTGTATAATAATATAATATAATGATTATTTGTCTGTAGATGAAGATGAATTGCAGCAATTAAAATCACTTCATCTTGAGGTTTATGAAGAATCAGCTAAATGGTTTAATGGATTGAATCTAATTATTAAACACCAGATCCGAAATCATCTTGGTAATATGCCGGCCTGTGATGATGATCCACAAGAAGCGACACATGGTCCTAAATGGACCTGGTGGTTATTAGGTGTTCTTCCACTAGATAGTAACACTCAGATGGCTGTACTTTCCACCACAACACTGAAAGAACGACTCATTGCTTTACGTAGAGCATTAAATGATGTCTCCAGTCAAGGTTCCTGACTAGGCCGAGTTTTCAACTTTCTCCTTTCTGGTCGGGGGTTATTGATTTCAGGTGCAATGGTGGCAGCTGCGTATTTATGGACTTAGAATTTTGTACATTTTCTTCCTTCAATTAATAGTTTGGAACTAATATTATAATTTAAATATTTGGCAATATCGTCTCAACTATTAAAATAAGTATATACAGATTTATGAATTTGCCAAAACTCAAAATGTACATGTATTACCTTATATATTTTGTTTGTGGCATTTGATGTATGAAGTATTATGTGCTGTATACTAAATGCAATAATTACTGTATTTGCAATATATATATATACTGGTATATCTTCACTACACAAAGCAGATTTGCTTACCACTCATTTGCATATTTAAATATGTTCAAACTACAAGTCCCTGTCGGTTAACACAGTTATGTTCAAATCACCTGGTTACTTTAATTAGTTTAATAACATAACTTTATGTCCTAAATCTGAATGAAATGAAATTAGTTTAAAATATGTATGATTTGAATTAAAAAAGTTGTCACACAAAAAGAGTTAGCTTCATTCATTTGGCAAGCTTGGACCACACACTTAAATTCACAGCAGCCATATAAAATGAATAACTTGCTTCTATGCTATCGATAAAGAGCCATTGCTCGAAACGTCTAGCTATTTTTAATAGTTATTTAGGACTACGATTACCAAATATTATCTTCAATATATCATATAAAATGACGATGAGTTCAAGATTGACCCAGTGGCGGATCGAGGGGGGGGGTTCTTGGGTCCGGGTTGAAAAATGTATTCAATTTGTTTTTGTATAATATAAAAAAATCATTAGTTAGTCTGGCGATTTTAAAGTTTGGACCCCCCCATAAAAAAAATCCTGTATCCGTCCCTGTGACCTGACCTATCAACACCATGGTGCCTTATGTTCACCAAAGTCTTTTCAACATGACGATGTTTTCTGTCCATTGTTGAGGAAATGTTATTTATTTTAATTTTTTTGCCACATGTCAATAGTAATATGTCGTGAGTGAAGTGTAAAGATATGATTTTATTGAAATCATTTGCAGTAAAATGTGTTACGAACTCAACAAATTATGATGGTGAGCGTAATAAATAAATATGATGCTGGCACCAGTTTTGCAACATGCATAATTTTTTTTAAATTCTCTTGATATAAGTAATTTCTGTAAATATGCATATGCATAAAAAGTTAGAGTGTGAACTGAATTGATACAATGAATAATTATTTTTTGAAAATGCACTAGATGGGCGAATTAATAGAGAACGCTTGGTATATCATTGTTTTCATAATACAATAATATAGTATCTGTATGTGGGGAGTAATTTGAAAGAAAATTTATAATAGTCATAAAATAATTATATATTTGAAAAATATTTATTGCAATCATATTTGATAGACGATTTGAGATATTTTCCAATGATTTTTGCTGTTCACATCATGAGAACATATTT